ATGTATGTATGTATGTATGTATGTATGTATGTATGTATGTATGTATGTATGTATGTATGTATGTATGTATGTATGTATGTATGTATGTATGTATGTATGTATGTATGTATGTATGTATGTATGTATGTATGTATGTATGTATGTATGTATGTATGTATGTATGTATGTATGTATGTATGTATGTATGTATGTATGTATGTATGTATGTATGTATGTATGTATGTATGTATGTATGTATGTATGTATGTATGTATGTATGTATGTATGTATGTATGTATGTATGTATGTATGTATGTATGTATGTATGTATGTATGTATGTATGTATGTATGTATGTATGTATGTATGTATGTATGTATGTATGTATGTATGTATGTATGTATGTATGTATGTATGTATGTATGTATAAACATACAAGGTACAAGTATGTATGTAGCCTGGCCGGCTATAAAGAGGGATGTATTGTACATACATATATACATACATCCATATATACTAGTGCATTTTGCATCAGCATCTGCAACAGTTCGCTATCTGTTTATCGTGGCATCAACTACAATAATGCACAGAAATTTACATCAATTACAACAGCGATTACATTAATTACAATAATTACATTAGCAACTATAACATCAACATTCTTAACAACATTATTAACTCTTTGAATAACGATTGTGACGGTAAAAACTAACAAAAAATTAGCGCAATTTAAAAATTGAAAATTCCTAACTTAATATAGTATAATATATCTATGAATATTCATCCAGATCGGTCATTTTTTTGATTTTAAAACTTGAATCGCCCAAATCTCATCCACAAACTACGGAAAACATTGGCTATAGAAACACTGTCTACAACAGCAAAAACATCAATATCGTTGTCAACAACATCAACGAAAACATTGTAGTTACCGTCCACGACACTAACAACAACAACAAAATCACCGTCAAAAGAAACATTAACAACAATAACAACAACCACAACAACATTATTGTCACCAGCAAGCAACAAGATGAAAAACAAACAACAACAACAACAACAACAGCCGCATCAGCAATCATCTTCGTCGTCATCATCTTCATCATCGTTAACATCCAAACTTCCCCCACTAGCAACAACAACAACCGCAACAACAACAACGATGTTCTTCGTCGTCATCCTAGCCACAACAATATCTAACCTACCAACAGCCTCCAATGCCCAGCAAACGTACAACAAAGGATGCGAGTGTGAAGAGATGATTGACGGAAGATGTTCCTACACCCTCTTCCTACCAACTCCACGCACTTCCGCAACCAGTGACGGATGTCAGGATTTCCCCGGAAGTCACGTGAACAACTCTCTGGCGACTTTGTCACGTGACGTAGCGTCGTTGGAGAAGTGGAGCGGCGAGCAAGCGAAGTCGTTAATCATCATCAGTAATAGGTTGAGCGCTTTGGAAAGTAAAATTATGGATAAAAACAACAACAACAATAGTAATAGTAATAGCAGCAACAACGACGGCAATAACTTCTATTTGATGTCTCAACTGGTAGAGCAAGCGACGAGAATAACGAACATTGAGCAAGGGTTGGCTTCTGTAAACAAAACTTTGCATAACTTTATGGACAGCGTCAGTCAGTTCATCAACATCACCACTACCAACAACAACAACACTAACAACAACAACAGCAGCAGCAGCAACAACAACTATAGTACTGTAATGTATACAGTCAACCCTACATTTACTAGCCAGCTCAATCAATCCACCGACTACAATGCTACTTATCAAACAACTACAACCTCAATCTACAATAACAACAACAACAACAGCTATACTGCAAATAATACCATGATCCCTTACCTAACAACTGCATCTTCAATTTTTGCGACTACGACAACTAATAATTTTAACATTACTTACAACAACACGACAACAACATCAGCAGCAGCAAGCGGCAACAATGCTACTACGGACATGTATTACAAGACAACGATCACAACAACAAATTATACAATCGGAGACACTAGACCTTACCCGTACACAACAACAACATCAGCAGCAGCAACAAACAACAACACAGACAACAACAGCACTATTTATACAACAATGTTTGCAAATTTCAACAACTACACAGCTATTGATAATGCAACAAATGGCTTGGATCACAGCGTTTATAATCTAACGACAACAACTTTTCATGGCATTTATCAAGAAAATCACACCAACGACAACAACGCAAGCGAAGTTTCAAACAACTCTTCGTTTGCTTACACAACTACTCAACTCTACCACATTAACACAACTGATGCAATCAACAACACAAACCCAAACAACAACAGCAACAGTGAAGCTCACAACGCAACAACAACACACTATCAGCAACAACACAACGAATCAATCTTTACCTCTATGGCACCTCATTACAATACAACGACCAATTTGTCCTCATCCATCATTCCTGCTACAATCACTAATTCATTCCAAAACAACAACACTATTGCAACAACCAACAACAGCTCTGCAACCATCAATCCAACAGTAACAGTGCACATCAATAATTCTTACTATTCAACGATTGCAATCACGATGCACCCAAACAACAAGACAGGCGACGACAACACTTCTACTACTAATAAAGTCAACATTCAAAACACTACTGCAGCGCCATTTTCCAATAGCAACAGCAGCAGCAGCAACAACAATAGCAGCAACATAATCATCCAAAACCACGACTCTTCCAACAACAAAACTACCAACGTTAACAACAACGACAACAAAACCGCAACAACAACACCACCGCAAGCACCATTAACAACGACAGTCTTTTTCACTCCAGTTAAGCAGCCACCGTCATCCAATATCCTGTTGAACGTTGATGGGAGCAAAGACGGATTACAATCCGGAAGGCTGAAACGAGATGTTGACGAGAATTTTTACGGTTTTATTAAAAATCATCCCCATAATAACAACAACATCAACAACAACAACAACAACAATGATAATATTGTACTATCTCTCCTCAATATCATTTGGAAGTTGGAGCAAAGACTGACGGCTTTGCAATTGCAAAATCAATTTAGCTGCTCTGTAAAAGGGTTATTGACTTCCGGCTACAGAATGACGTCATCCTCATCGTCACCATCACCGTTGCAATCACCGCCTACTTCCTCCTCCTTCTCCTCCTCATCATCATCATCATTATCGGATGATGACGTCAGCTCGCCAAAGTCGATCACGATTGGTAAATAAATTTTTATTTTTCGGCGGTGTGCTGTTATAAAGAGTATGTGATGTTTTTCCAGGTTAATGAGTGGATGAAGTGGATGATGATTGTGATGATGACGATGATTAAGATTGTGATGATGATGATGATGACGATGATGATGATTAGAATATAAAGATGATTGTAATGATGATGATGATATTGACGATGATGATGATGATGATTATGATATAAAGATGCTTGTAATGATTATGATATTGGCGATGATGATGATGATTGATGATGATGATGTTGATGATGATGATATAAAGATGCTTGTAATGATTATGATATTGGCGATGATGATGATGATTGATGATGATGATGTTGATGATGATGATGATGTTGATGACAATGATGATGTCGCAAAAAACAATCGGATGAAATTATCATTTCTAACTAATCTGCGAGCCTGTGTTCACTTGAAAACAAGATTATTATCTACCTCCACACCATCCCATCCCATCAAAAAATCATTACTACTATTATCACATCATTATCATTATCGTCGTCCTCGTCATCATCACCATCATCATCATCATTCCAGAGACTGGCCAGTGGATGGAAGTGCAGCTGAACAAGTCACAAACCTTATTTGGATTCAATGTGAAGGTCGAAGAACTGTCGGATCCCGTGATCTACTATGATGTCATGTACATGACGCCTGCGCAGAAGTGGACGTATTACGTCAATTATGCCGGAGATAAAATTGTTAGTGGATTGACTGAATGAATGAATGAATGAATGAATGGATGAATGGATGGATAGATGGATAGAGAAGGAATGAAATTAATTGAAGAAACGAAGAAAGAATAAAAAAAGAATAAAGCTATATGGCGTGATTGTCGGTTATCAATTTGATTGATCGTTGGCGCATTAATGAATGAACGAATGAATGATTGATGAATGAAAAGAGTAAGAACTAGTGAATGAATGAATGAATAAATAAATGAATGAATGTACGAAGAAACGAACCAAAAAAGTGCGAACGAAGATAAACGAATGAACGAGCGATCGAACGGATAATAAAATGAATGAATAGAATCGCAAACATAAAACAAAAATCTATTTTCATCTATCATTTGTACATGGGTTTGAACGAACCAACGACTAGGTGAATGAATTAATGAATGAATGAAAAAACGAAAAAAGAATGAATGAATGAATAAATGAATGAATAAATGAATGAATGAATGAATAAATGAATGAATGAATGAATGAATGAATGAATGAATGAATGAATGAATGAATGAATGAATGAATGAATGAATGAATGAATGAATGAATGAATGAATGAATGAATGAATGAATGAATGAATGAAAAAAAAAATGAAAGAAGAAACGAAGGAAAATAAATGGGCAAACAAACCTTGAACGAACGATCGAGCAAGGGGAAAAACTAAACGATTGAATGAATGTATGAGTGAATGAATGAACGAATGAAGGAATGAATGAATGAATGTGTGATTGAATGAATGAATGTGTGAGTGGATGAATAAGTGAATGATAAAATGAATGAATGAGTAAATAAAAAAATGAAAGGAAAAAAATGAACGAATGAAAGAACATCGATTGGTCCGTCTCATAATAGACGAGCCAGGTAGCATCGTTAACTTTTAATGACGTGCTGTAATGCGATGGGAGAAAATGGCAACAACAGAAATAATAATAACAATAATATGATAACATTAATATCACTAAAATAATTATTGCGATGGCAAAACATCAACTGAATAACACTAATAACATCAAGAGTAACTGTAATTAAATATGTAATATAATCTGAATCTTACACTATAGTAACAGCAGACTATTTGTAATGTTATCAAAAATAATGGGACCCAGCTTAATCCGTTTTATTATTATTAAATATTTATTACTTTAAATTCAATTTTAGATATTCAACCCCAAAACTGACGTAACTACATCCGGATTTATTAATTTGTGGCAGCCAATAGCGACCAATGGTTTTAAAATTCGACCAATGACTGAAGGAGTTACCAGCGCTTTGAAAGTATCCATTGATTTGATTGGCTGCCTCGATTGATTAATGGATCGATTCATCTTTTGATTGGCTACTTGAATTTATTAATAGATGGCACAAACTAAAACTAATAACGAATTAGTTTATATTAATATCATTCAGCAATTGCTTGTCAATCAATTGATTGATTGACTAATTGATTGATGAAGTTTTATTTCAGATTTAATCAATCAATAAATCCGATTCTTCATTAAATCAATTGATTGATCGCTTTATTTGAAACATTTGTATTAGATAAAAACAAACTGCACATAATATTGGCACCACAAACATTCGTCTCTATATTCATCTAAACCAAACACACACACACACACACACACACACACACACACACACACACACACACACACACACACACACACACAACACACACGCACACGCGAGCGTACTTAAACACACTTACACATACATTCAATAATTAACATAATTTTATATTATATTTCTGTTCATTAAATTATAGACAAATGCAGTTGCCAGACACCAAGTTATGTTATGGTGCGTTTCAATGTTAGCTTATAACTTTTGCCCTCTTTTTCATCGTCAATATTATTCACTCTTTTTTATTTGCGAAACTATAATAATACTGTATTAATACACAGCAATAACAATAATAATAACAATAATGATAACAATAATGATAATAATAATGATAATAATAACATCTGTTATCCCATATAGCTGTTAAGACAAACGTAGTTATTGACTTTTTCTATCACCAATAAAGCAAACTTCGGCTTAAAATATAGACAAACATATATATATATATATATATATATATATATATATATATATATATATATATATATATATATATATATATATATATATATATAATATATATATATATATATATATATATATATATATATATATATATATATATATATATATATATATATATATATATATATGGTATATAATATATTTGTTATACTTATGTTATACTGAAAAATATGGTTGTATATTATATGCACTTGCATAGATTTTTATTGTAGACATTTAAATAAATAAATGTAAGTTACATTAAGCGTTGCTTTATGAAAAAGAAGTAAGAAATCAAGAGAGAGATAGCGAGAGAGAAAGAGAAAGAAAGAAAGAAAGAAAGAAAGAAAGAAAGAGAATGAAAGAGAGACAGCACATGCAAACAAACACACAATTATTACTACGTAGTAGTCTGGTAGTCCACATTCTTGAACAACTTTTGACATCTATTGTATATCGATGTTCTAGATTTTTCCATCATTTTCTTTGTTTTTTTCACAATTTTTCGATAAAACAATACCAAAAATTAATTTATTAATTCGAATAAAATTCGTAGTTTATTGATATTGGCTTCCAAGTGAGACAAACTAAACCAAAATCCAAATTCAAGATTGACATAATCCGCTTATATTACAAATAATCATAATTTAATAATAAGTAGTATAAAAACTTAAAAAATATAATCTGTAGAACGCGTCATCAATAACATCAGTGTGTTTGATTTGATTTGAGAAAATAAAAACACTTTTCAATAAGGAACTGCGATTTACCATTTGATCACTAACAGTTACAAGAAGAGATGTATTCAAATTACAGGTTTTACTCTAATTTACTTTTTAGTTATTTATAATTATCTTATTAAATTTCATTTATTATAATATAAAATAAAAAATATAATTAAAATTTTGAACTTCACGTTTTTTTTGCAAAATTGTGAACCTCTTCAAAGTTGTCTAGCCTCGCTCTGTCCTACCTTTAAATAAAATATATCAATACCAATATAAATCAAAATCACTATATCAATATTATCAGCAGATTTGATACATACAATTTTACAAATTAAATTTATATTGCGTAGTATTAGTATAATGAATCTATGCAAAAATGCGTGCTCAAATAACAAACTATAGTAGCTATTAACGTCATTTAGATACAGTCATATGGACGATGGATGAATGTGGTGTAGTGAAAATTAGGAAATACCCTATAGTTCAATACCTTGGTCATATATCGTAATGGTTATTCTAACAATTTGAATGAGTAATAAATTTAAGTGAATAAATTGCATTTAGCACAAATATTAGCTAAAATGAGATGGAATTTTAAATATCGTTATGTTTTTAATACTCCGTCTCATTGTCTCCGTCTGCCTGTCTGTCCCTTTCTCTCTTTTTGTTTATTTCAATTTTATATCTTTTTTTCTAAGTTATATAAATATATATATATATATATATATAATATATGTATATCTCTTTCTGAGACTATACGATGCTTAATTTAATTATAAATTGACAATAGAAACCGACCACAGATATGCCGCGTGCCCTTTCGTAGGAAGGAATATCGGATGGTTATCAGCTGGAAAAGAATTAAAGATTGGTTGAATTTAGAGGAATGTTTGAAGAGATTTTTGTCAAAATTGATAGATATTATAAGCGGTAAAATCTGGTCCAAAATTGTGGTTAAGTCCAGTAGGTATGTCACCCAAAGTATGATTGTGTCGGTGAGTTGAAATGTATAGTTCTTTGTTTATGTTTTGTTTTAGTTTCTGTGGTAATTTATTATCGACCGTGAGTGCTTGCGCTCGTTTATTTAAAATTAAATTCTGCGTATAATTAGTTTTTAGTGATTTGTACAACATTTGTCAGAAAATGAATCAATATTATCATTTTGGCGGTAGGGCCAATATTCAGGTAAAGGAGATTTATAAAATTTATATAGTTTCTTTACTTATTTTAAGTACTTTAGTAAGTGCTTCTCTAATAAAATAAAATAAATCTAACTGATAACATGCTTTGATATGGCCCACTGTTTCTTGCTGGCCCCACACGACAGGCACAAATACAGATGGCTTTTCAGAAGAGGTCTCTCCTACACATGTTGGAGGAAGTCGAGAAGATCCTCAAAAGCTATTCTATGGCCGTATGTTATTTTTAGTTTTATGTTATTTTTAATTTCAAAATTAAATTAATTTCTATCAAACAAACACACTAAAAAAATCTCAAGCTAACTAAAAATGAAAAACGAATATTTCATTGTGATATCAAATCAGTCTATGATATTTATATAACATACACATTACACATGCATATGTATAAACTATAAACTATAAATATAAAACATCAACCTTATTCAATTTTTAAAAGCTTTTTTAATTTAAAGGATATAATTATAATACTAATAAAATAAATGAATTAATTATTAATATAAATTAATAAATGACATTATTTTTTAAATGTTTTGTTGATGGCTTGCACTTTTGTCTTACATACATACACTTACACATATCTCTCAGCTTTAACATTACTATCTACTTGGCTCTAACTCAAATAAATAATCACTCAGCCAGGTTAATAATGAAATTTTAATTTTTTATTTTCTAGGATCTGCAACCGGTTCTACCCCAAATTCTCGAACTTTTGTTCAATTTTGACGGTGCCTGCCCGGATGATCTGAACTTTGGCTATCTGTCGAACAGCAGAACATACGAGTTTGAAGTTGTCAAAAAGTTTTTTGGATTCGATTCCATCTTGATGTCAACCGTTTTGAGATTATCTAGAGATGCGTCGTGTTACACTTGCTACGAATTTCCTTTTGCTAAAATGCCAGTAAGTTTAGAAGGCTAAGTTTAGAATTATTGAACACTACCTTGTCAGTTTAATAACATTAAATTAAGTTATATTTCCTGAAATAAATTTTAATTTATGAAAACCCATAAAACTTGTTAATTTTTCTAAAAAATTTAATCCAATTTATTTAACAAAAAAATTGAAATTTAATTCAGCTCTCTTCTAAGAACACGATTCGCAAAGGAAAGAGTTTATTGTACTACTGCTCAAAGTTGAAGAGGAACCCTAGTACTAACTTCATCGAGTCCATATTTCTTGGTCAGTTGGTCTTTAATTAAGTAATTAAAAATTATGGAATTAAATAAAGTTTATTATTTTTATCATTAATTATATTAATTATAATTTTTTAAGGTTTTTTTTGTTTTCATTGATTTGGTTGTTTTCTCGAATATTTCATTTTAATGATTTTTTCAATGCTGTTTTGAAATGAATTTATTTCATGTAGATGCATTTGAGTTGCTGATGGTCCATTTTGCACATTATCTGGTCAATCCATTAAACCTCAAGGTTGTTTGGTTGATTGGTTAATTAATTAATTAATTAATTGACTTACTAATTTAATTACTATTAATTGATTGTTAATTGATTAATTAATTAATTGATTAATTACGATTGGTGTATAGTATGATTGATCAATTGATTGAATAGTTAATTGATTGATTGATTGATTAAATAAATAATTAATTGATTGGTATATAGAGTGATTGAGATTGATGCAGTTGTTGCCATATCATATTCATTCCCACGCCACCAGGTTCTACACTACATCAACAATAAGAAGCACCAGCACCAGAAATATTGGATCTACAAGGCGATAGCCAACGAATACTTCACCTACTTTTTCTCAACTAGAACTGACTTCATCCCACCAAAGTTTTCACCGTCTCTGAAAGAAAATGCTCTTTCTAACTTCAACCCACATTATCAGTCACTACCACACCATCAGTTAGCAGCTGCCTCGCCACAAATATCACTGTCGAAATTGTGGGGTGATAATATGCAGAGCTACCATCAACATCTTTGTAGCACTCCTGCTTATCTGAAGCAACAGCAGCAGCAGCAATTCATTTCTCACAACATCTCATCCATGGAGGTGCCCTCACAGCCATCATCACCACCAAGGTCTAACAACATACTGTTGCAACCGTTGCTCAACCAGTCTCTCAACATGCCATCATTCCACCAACAACAAGAGCTACAGCAACAATTTCAACAGCAACAACAATTATACCAACAACAACAACTACAACAACCACATCTGCAAAAAATAAGACTCTCAAAGTTACTGAACTTAGATGCAGAAATGTTGGCCATGCTAAATTCAGCCAATCACAGCTCGCCGTTTATGTCAACAAATACAGGATCGGCCAATAGCATTGCACAATCCATGTCACAACCACACAGTAACATGTATTGCAACATGGGATCTATATTCTATACTGATGTTGTCTTAGAGGTAGTATAATTGTACCTATCAACTTGTATCTTTATATTATGGTATTAATATATTATGGTATTCTGGAAAGATACACAGCATCTTCTGCTATCATTTTATTTAATTTTTTTTTTTTCTATTACAGATATTTTTTGACTTTTGGCTGAATCAGTTAGATGAACTATCCTTTGAGCAGCAGTTTAAACATTCTAATAAGGTATGAATATATTTTTGTGTATGTTTGTTAAGTTTTGTTTGTTTGTCGATGTTGTTTTTTCTTGCTTTTGCTGCTTGTTTAGCTGGTTTGATTTTTATCATAACTGTTCGTTAAGCTTATTGAATGATAAATGTTGTTTTATTCCATAATTCTTCTTATTAATTATCTATTATTTTCAATTCTCTACAATGAAACAAATAAACAAACAACCAACCAAACAAACAATCAAAAACCAACCAAACAACCAGATGTTAAGAAGTGACGATTACTTCTTTCTAATCCGCCTCCTAATTAAACACACCCATTGGATGGCAAGTTCTTCATCCTTTATTGATGATGGTCTTTCCATCAATCAATCATTCAGTGGAGGAATGAAGCAGCAACAGTTCTCTCATTCATTTCAGCAGCAGCAGCAGCAGAGGTGTCAACAGCATCTGCTCATGTCTGCTGAGTTCATGGAATGGAATGAATATAAACGGTGCCTATTTACTTATTTTTTATTTATTAAAGTTTTTTCTGAAATGTTTTTCACTTTTAATTTTTTTTTCGTTTGGTTGTTGAACTCTCCATTCACTCATTCGTTCAATCATTCATTTATATAATCAATCTTTCAATCCACCCATTTCTTCATTCGTTCATTCATTCATTCATTCAATATATTATTAACTCAATCTTAAATTCCCTCATTTATTCAATCATTTTTCATGATTCAACAGTTTTACAAACGTAACACAGACTAATTTTTTCATTTCTGAAACACACACAAAAACACACACACACACAGGAGTGTGTGGTCTCCATACATGACCGGCAAGCTGTTCCGATTCATCAGACACCACATCACCAACGTCATCATCGACCGACCGGTATGGTTTACGCTGCTGCTTGCTTCTAACTTTTTAAAATACCTCCTTTATTTATTCATTTTCAATTTATTTATTCTCAGTTAATTCGGTTTTATTGATCTGTTGTTGTTTAGTTTATTTTTTATTTTAAAGTAAACATGTTTACCAATTTTAAATGTATACAATTAATTATATTTCTTACCCTATTTTTGTTTTTTTTTTTTTGATTTTTAAAAATTTTCTCTCCTAGATATTGGAAATCTGGCTAAGCTTCATCCAGCCATGGAGATACGACGTCCAGCAACAGCCAGTAGTTTCCAAGGACCACAAACAGCAGCAACAACAGCTTCATTTGTCCTTCAATCACCAACAAACTGACCAACAAGAAGAACATTGTGATCAAGTTGTTAATGCAAAGAACAGTGAGGAGGACTTGATGAATGAATCTGAATATGCTGTCTTTGATAGATGGTTGGTTTGTTGTTGCTGTTGCTCGTGTGTGTTTTCGTTTGATATTTTTGTTTGTTACATTTAGGAATGTGTATTTTAATGCCGTGTTGGTGAAGGTTGTTTGTTGTTTTTAGAATCTTCGCGAATCTATGGTCTAGTTTCAATGTTTTCAATTGTTTTCGTTACTTAATACAATGCTGTGGTGTTACCAAAATTGAATACAACCAACCATATACTTTCACTCATTCAAGTGCAAAACTATTCAGACAACTTCAAAATTAAAAAATAAGTATATCAAATAAAATTAAATTACCCGCCTTGAAATGTCTGGCAGGGTGCCATTCATAAAGGAGAACATCTTCACTTATACCTACATACTGCAGCTGCTCATGGACAGGTTCGCTTATCTGGACGTCACCAACTTCTCTGTCATATTCCTGCTATGCCGTGTCGCCAAAGTTGGTCTCTTCATTTGATTGTAACCAATTAAGATTTGTACAAATCTGAGAAAGAGAGAGAGAGAGAGAGAGAAGAGAGAGAGACAGACAGAAAAAATGAAAATGAGAGAAGAGAGGAAGAGGAATAAATCATTCAAGATCACGTTAAGCATGTGTTTGGCTCAACAATGAATTTTTTGTTTAGATAATTTATTTAGAAATAGTTTGGCTTTAATCATTTTTTCTTACCAATTATAACGATTTATATGCTGTCTGACTATGAAACCTTGAACTATCAATGATTTATATTAAGACAAATCAAAATTTTACTGAGGATGTTTTTTCTTTTCTTCCAGATCTTCAACACAACCAATTTGAAGGAGGTGTTAGATTCAGGTCAGAGAGATATTTGAGAAACGTTTTTTAATTTATCATTGTGCATTGTCAGTATTTATACTGTCGTCATTACCATTAGTATTATAGCAGTGTTGTAGTTATTTTTACTACCATCCTTGCTATTACCGTTGGCAATAACATTTTTTCATATCTGAGATATTTTCACAAGTTTGTCCTCAATTCTTGTCATCTATTTTCACTTGTTAGTTACACGAAATTTTCTGCAAACACTCACTCACACACGCACACACACGTACACACATTACATGCACGTACGTACACACACACGTCCATGCACCGTATACAACAACAGCATATACTAATAAACGTACAGAAACTAAGCAGTTCTTCAGAGGCTCGCCTTCAGCATGATATAAGCTATTGTTATTACTTTTATTATTATTAATATTATTATTTTTATTATTACACCATACACTCCAAACACCAACAACAACCCCTGGTAAACAGTGGAGCAGGGAATGTTCGAACCGCACGGCCACCAGCAACAAAAGCAAGCAAATTCATCGGGCATCATTCGGGCTCCTCCCCCGACGAATCGCAACAACAACAACATCATCAGCCTACCAAACCGAACGATGACTACGCCGTACAAGAAAAAGTTAACTGAATTAGGAGTCAGGGAAACAGAGGGTCCAAATGAGTACAGAGACTTACACTCTCCTGAAATTATTACCAAGGTAGGCGGTTTTGTTCTTATCCATACTTAGTTCTTTCTTCGTCTTTCTTTCTCGTGCCTTATCCTTTCAGGACATTGGCGACCATCGACCTCCACAAAACCCGATCTTTAACACTTTGTAGTAGTTGTGTAGTTGTAACTGGTGATATTCAACAAGTGACACAAGGTCTTCACGAATGTTATTCGTTGTTGACCGCGATTGTTGCTGACTGCGATACTTAGTTATTGTTGTCTAAAATGTTAAATAATTAATTCGGCAATATTTATTTATTTTATTCTCAAAAACAATTTTCTTTTTCAAAAAACCAAAGGTGGTAAGAATTATTAACATGGTGACGCATGCCAAAAGCGTAATTGAAGATAGACTGAATGAGCAGGAGAATGTTGAACACGATAAAAGTTTACTTCAAAGGTTGAACAACTGTGTTGACATTTTTCTTCCAACATTTCATCATTTTATTCAATATAAATTTCTTTGATATTTTAAATGATTTTTATTTTTATAGTTGTGTATTCACCGCTTGATTTGTGATTATATTATAGTTACTAAAACCATTGATATTCGATGATTTTTATTTGGTACGGTAAAAAATTATGAAAATGATAATATTGATGATGATAATGATGATATGTAGTTGTTGCTGCTGCTACTTCTGCTGTTGTGGCTGGTGACGATGATTTGATGTTGTTCTTTATGATGATGATGATATGATGTGGTGTTGAGAATGATAAATGATGATGTTTATATATTTACCAGAATGATGTCATGGTTTGGAGATAGTGATGATCAGACGACAAAAACTAACAATGTGAAATCTCTCAAATATCTGGACATCATCACAAATAATATGATGGAGTTTTTTCAGGTCTGTTGGCTGGTTGATTGATTGGTTGATTGATTAATTGATCAATTGGTCGGTTGGTTTCTGGATTCAGGTGGAAAACAATCACTGATTTGATTGTTGACTGATTGAAAATTAACTTGAAATTAATAGAATATGTGATTAGCTTGTATTGATATTTTAGTAATTGATAAAGTTTAATGTTTATAACTATTGGTTTGCTGTAGAATTGATTAACTTTGCGCACATAAATGATCTAACGAAAAATTATGTAAGAATAATTAATTCAGTTTCATTTTTAGCAAACATATTTATTTACCCATCTATCAGGTACCTGCCTCCAGAATATCAACATCTCCCTGGCCACAAACCGACCAAGCTCACCCCCGTCAGTTCATTGGCACCCCATACCTACGCAGGGGGCACCAAAGCAACACGACGGACGACCCCAACCTCAACATCACCCCATTGAAAAATCTGGATGAAAGTGAACATTTGCCTGAACTTCAAAAGTTGCCAGACTGTGGCGTTGACGATAGTGGTAGGATTCATCTCACTCCTCTTGGAAGATATGAGGTGAGAAGATAATGATGATGATAAACTGGTAGATATATGTAACTGCGTTTGTGTGCTTACCTGTAGAAAATTAGTTATTACATTTTCAAGTGAAATTGTGGATTCTTATTAGGCTAAAATTATAATCAATAATCCTGTTAGAATCAGAAGTGAAGCTAGCTAATGATTTGATAAACTACTCTTGAAAATTATTTTTAAAAAGATTATAACAGGGCGGAAAAAGTTTGATGTGGATTATGCAAGCGATAGAGAACTCCAGCCAATCAGATCCTCCGAATGTGCGCCCCTGGTTAAATACCTCTTCAGAGTTTCAGGGCTCCTTAATGAAAAGGTTGGCAATAATAATAATAATTATTATTATTATTTCTATTTATTTCACTAAACTACGATAGCTTATGTGTCTAGAGAACATGTTACATGTACGTACCTTTATTTAAGGAAAATCTATCACTTATTTTCATTCAGACTTAACCAAACTGGCCAAAATTCAAACAAACTGCTTATTATTTAAATATACATTACCATAATGTTATGATAAACGTAATATTTATAAAAATAAATAAGAGTTGAAGTAATAAAAAAAAAAGAAATTGATGTTGAATATTTAATTGACATTTCGATTTGACAGTACGGAGAGAAGATGAAGAAGTCAGTAAAGAAAAGAGGTCCGATGGGTTATTTGGCCAGGTACTTGTTCCTACCAAGAAAGTCTAAATTAGGCATTTCGTCATCTCCATCCGCCAATCCCCTCATGTCTGACAGCAACAAGTACAACAACGTTTTTACCGCCACCGCCCGAACCAGCCAATCAGAAAAGTCGTCCCAAACGAGCTGCTTATTCTTAACCAATAGGAATCAATTAGACAATCCGCGGATTAGTTTGAGATTTCTAGCTAGTTATTCTAATATGCTGCTGCTGATGTTGCTGGTGCTTCTGATGAAGTTATCGCTTGGCGTCGATTTCACTACTGCAGTGGCCCTCGTGGTGGCGTTTGTTGTTTTGTTTGTGGTTTTTGTAGTCAGGATTGTACTGGAAGGCCTTCACGATAGTGGAGATGATGACAATAATAATCTTAATACTAGCGCAAGTAATAGAAGTTCAATTACTAACGGTAGTAACAGCGCTACTAGAAATACTAAAAGTTGATAAAATGTACGCTGCCTTGTACTTATTTTAATGTTTCGTCGGTGCATTTTTTTTAATTTATCCTTTATTTTAAACATACACCTGTCAACAATCAAACCTAGTTAGATTTCTCTCTTTTTAAATTCGTTTATTTCAATTATAAGAAAAATTTTGAATTCGGAAATTGTCATTTTTAGTCCAGTAGTGATGAATAAAATTAGCAACAATGTCATTTCCAACAAGTACTATTTAGCTCATGATCGGATTATACAAATGACCATTTAGCTGTACACATGATGAAAAAAAATAACGAAAAAAAAAAGTATACAAACGAACAAACATTTAGAAACAAGACAACAACAAAAAATTTTGGACGCTGACTACAATGTAAAAACAATGTAATAAATAAATAAATAAATAGTTTGATTTCTCTTCCTTTCACATCTGTAGGATTGATCAGTGAGGACGTGATGAAGTGAGAGTTGGCCGATTAAAAAAATTTTGAAATTTAGATGGGCAAGTTTGAAAAAAATATCTATTTTTGCGCGTGTAGAAAGAGAGGAGAAAAAAGAGAAGAGAGAAAAGGGAAGTAAAAAGAATTATAATAAAGAACAAACGTTAAATATACGCAGCCTAAAACCTTTCAGCAATTTCAAAGCGATGCCATCGAAAATAATGACAACATTCTACATGAAAATGTAGTTAGGAAAGGCAGATATTTACGAAAATGAAGAGCTAAACCCAAGAAACGGAATAATATCGGTATTAAAAATTAAATCAAGTAATTAATTATAATTATTAAGTGAAAGTGGAATAATTAGGATAATAACAATCATCAAAGACGGGACACTGATAATAAAAATAGTGAAAACAAGACTAACTCATCAATGCTATCTTTCCATAACATACATAAAATGGAAAAACTTATCATCACCATCTTCATCATCCTTTACGCCAACATTACAATAATAAAGAAAGAAAGCAACTAAAATAAATAAATATAGTAGGCGTACACTTGTATGCATACTAATTATTACAATGGTATATACAAATACAAGCAAGTGTACACGCACGGATACGGTTATTATATGTGTGGATGATGAACAAATAACGAAACAATTTATGTATAAATGTTTAGTTTAGCATGATTGGAATACATGGAGCCAGTCAGTAATAAAGTAACCAACTATATAGTAATTAGTTAATCAATCAATTAACCAATTAGTAAGTCTTTTATAAAAATAGTTGTCTAAATATATAACAACTTTAGTATAATGTTTTCAACGGTTTCAATATCGTGCAGTTGCACACGTTCATAACAAGCATGCTTTAATGCAGACACATACATACACACGCATTTATTTAGCGCCAGTAAAATACTATCTCGAAGACGCTATGATAAAATATGAACAGAAATATCATTCAAGTCAGTTAAAACACGACAACTGTTAAAATAAGATAGACAATAAAAGCATAATTAATGCTCATCTAAATTAACATTCTTGACGGTACTGCTGCTGAGGCTGTTGCACGACCAGTCTTCAACTGACTATGTAGGTTATTCTATGGCTATGTAGGTACCCTCCTTAGTGATCGCACCTGAAAATTTTGAACCGTCAGCCTTGTCACCATCGTTACCTTGTTTGAACGTAGGACATACACGAACCAACTCAAAGTGATCAACTTCATATAGACATATCCAATGGGCCAAGTTAGCTTAAAGGAACTTATACGTGTCGTTCTTACGTACGTCTCACGTACAAAAATATCAGCCGAGTCACAATTAAAACTCGGCAACTGTTAAAATGAGAGAAGAAAGCGAAAATAAAGCTCATCTAAATAAACCCATTGAATGATAAGTATATGACTTTTTAACAGTACACAATGACCCTTCAGCACTATATGTTAATTACTATACAACGCGCTTTTAGTAACGCAATGGCATGTATATATATATATATATATATATATATATATATATATATATATATATATATATCTTTATATATGTACACATCATACGTACATACAACAACAACAACACACACGTTTAGACGGCATTTTCCCCGAGATCGGGGGTTGCCGTACATACATAAATGTCTATTTAATTTTTTGATAGATTAGCGTTATATTAAATTATTATTAGTTAAGAAGCATTTATAAAAATATAAGATGAAGATGAATGTAAATGAATTGCAATTGAAGTGTGTGTGTGTGTGAGAGAGAGAGAGAGAGAGAGAGAGATGGATAGATTTAGATTCTATAAATTGATGCTACTGTTGAAGATGATGTCGTCGTCGTTGATGTTGTTGCTGGTTTCTGGGGTAATAAATCTTTTGCTTGTTTCAGTAAAAATTGTTTGTGGGTGGTGTCACAGCACACTACCTTCATGAAGGCCTTCTGTGGAGGTCAAATGATTAGTGGGCCAACAAGTTTTAACAATTAATACAGATCAATAATTAAGCCGAGAACATGTCTATCTTTAACTAATTTAAAAAAAATTTCAATCTCAAGTGTTAAAAAATTGAACAAGGATAAACAAATCCATTGACTAACAGATATACAATCCATATTAGCAGAACTTTGTTTGTTTCTCGTTAATGTTGGGGCGGTCGGTAATGCATCATTGACGGTGACGCTGACGTCTTCAACAGCCTCAATGTGTTCCGCTACTTCAAAATCATCGTTCTCAATATTTTCGATGTCAACCAGTTGTTGAGAGGCCGATGCGATGTTGTTGCTGCTGTGCTTCGTTGTGGAGTTGTTGTTCATTCTCACGCCGTTCATCTCAGTGAATAGGTTCATCCTGATGGTGGAGTTGCCTGCCGTGAATACGTCATCTTCTTCATACAACGCCTTGCTCTGCAGTGTTTGACGTTACTAATGGTTTAGATATATTAAAGAGGTGAAATGAAAAATATTAATTTAAAAAAGTTGAAATTAATTTAGTAGCATAATATTTATTAACTAACAATTGGTGAAAAATATAGAAAAATATGCAAAAAAGTGAATAAAAATAACGAAAACAGACCGGCGTTTCGAAGAAGACCAGCGAATTAGGAACGACTAAATGGTCATTGGTCAGAGATTTCGGAACTGCACCAATAGGGGGTGGAGCAAACGGAGGAGGAGGAGTTACAGAGGGAGGGGGAGGAGCCTGAGGAGTTTTTCCATCCTTGACAAAATATTTTTTCAGTTAAAAAAATTTTGCTGCATATAATGTTTTCATCATATTATATTCACCATAGTTCTAATAAAACATGCATCATATATTATGCTGAAACAGAGCAAAATGAAGAAAAATGAACAAAACACACGCTGAAGCTGAGCTATGCTAAAGACAACAAGTGTCAAGACATAACGAACAATCCTCGTTTAAAGTCTCTATCCTTTATGGGTTAGTCTTAAGAGTCACGAAATAAAAACACCCACTAGTTATCTAAAATGTACATTCGAACGTTTGGCATTTAACTAACACTTTGAAAACTCAATAGCAACAAAAAAAACAGAATAAAATTGCCAAAAAAACGACAACAAATCCCGATTTACCAGAGTGCCAAAATCTTCATTTTCTTCATCTTCCTCTTTTATTTGCCCGCCTCCTCCTCCTCCCCCATCATAGACAACGATCCCTCGACTGCTACCGACACGAACCTGGACATCATCGTCGTCTTTGGGACCATCGCCGAGGAAAATTTGCTTCTTACAAGGAGGGCATGCCAGGTTGCTTCCCACGTGCCTAGAACAATTTAGAAAATAATTCTACTGCTATTCCAGTTATTTGCGACGTCAAAAAAGTATTTTTCGGTCGTTAAATCAGAAAAACATTCTCCTTCTTTTTTCATATTCGATCATGCGTTTGTTATCATTAAGAACTTCAAAAAACGGATACGATCGTAAATTAACGTGTAACGATTGAAGCAAGGCAATATTTATCACGAGAAATCAAATAAATCTGATTAAACTCAAAGACTGACAACTGTCGAATGTGTTGAATTTTTAAAAGGATGAGTTTGTTTGCTGTAAAACGCGTTTTGACGCCAATCATTAACGCTAAATAATGCATTTATTGTGTAAATAATGAAGGTATGAAATGAAGCGTAGAAGCCTGGATGGGTGGTGGAGACTAACACGACAGGTGGAGCTGACGTCTTCCTGTTCCTCACTCTCTTTGAAATCGGTGTCGATGATAGTGGATTGTTGAAGAACTTTGCAAATAATAATAATAATAACAATAATAATATAATAATAATAATAAAAAATTATGATAAAATAGGAATATAAATGTAATGGAAAAGAAGTTGATAGCAATGAGCAACAACAAAGCAAAAAATTCTATGAGCAAGATTCATATTTCAAAAAAAAAGAAGAACAAGAGATACAAAAACACAAATATATAAATATATGTTTATAAGCATACGCTTTTTAACCAACAAACACATGCACATGGAAGCTTTTTCTCTCTCTCTTTCTTTTCTCTCTCTCTCCCTCTCTCTCTCTCTCTTCTCTTACACACCACATACACACACACACACACACACACCTTAGAAGGAGTGAACTGTCTGAAATTAACAGAAGACATGGATAAATGCCCCTGTGACTTCCTGGAAAAAAGTAAATTCTGTTTTTTCTTCAAGATGCTAGGTGTGGCTTTAAATCTTTTCTCAAAATCGTTGGGGAGTGTCAATCTTCTGGCCTTCAACGGCGGTGAAGTTGGTATCAAATGTGGATTAAACAGCGAAGCAGATCTGTTTAACGATTTAATTGATGGTTTGTTTTCTTTGCCATTGTTTGGTTCTTTGGTTGTAGTAGGATTAGTGTTAATATTCGATGTTGATGTTGTCGTCGTCGTAGATTCCAACTTTATTATTTTTTGTTTATGCTCTAGTGATTCATTCAATTTTTCAGCGAGGTTCTGCTTGTTTTGATCTTTCTCTTGGTCCTTTTCGCTTTTAATCTTCTTTGTGTTGAAGAGGTCTTTGTTGACAGAAGCAAGGGCTTTTGATAGTTTATCATCATGAACCTCACTGTATGATGTGTGTGGTCTGTTCAGTTGGCAGCTGAATTTTTTCATCTGTGTGTAGATGTTGTTGCAGCTGGTGCTACTGCTTGTAGGAGTTGTCTTCATTATTTTAATTCCTTTCTGGTTACCTGAATTGTTGTTGTTGCGTAAAGTTGAAACATTGTTGCTGCTGTAACCACTGTTGTTAAAACTGTTTCCACTGCTATTGCTGCTGCTGCAACCACCACCGCCACCAGCGCCGCCACCACAACCACTACTACTACTCGAATTGAAACTTCTCCGACTGCAACTGTTACCACTGATGTTATCATTTCTAGTGCTATAAAGACTATTGCTATCATCAACGTTGTATTTCATCTCGTTGGTTGTTGCAGTTGACGACGACGATGGGGTACTGGACAGTTGGCACATTTTAAAAACTGGCGAGCCGTGCTTCAGCTTTAATGAACTCAGTGCCCCGAGCTTCTTGCCATTCAGTATGAATTCTTGAAAGAACAAATTAGTATAGTAGTAAAGCTGCTACAAAATTAATGAAAATATTTCTGACAGTTAGCAAATTATCTCTTGAGTGAATATGAAATCATTAATAAAAACGCTATCTTTATATATATATATATATATATATATATATATATATATATTATATACATACATATAGAGAGGAAGGAAAGACTGAAAATAAGAAACAAAGAGAGAAACAGAAAAAGAAACAGAAAGAGAGAAAGAGAAAGAAAGAGAGAGACAGACGCAGACAGAGAGAGACATTACTAGATAACTCCAAAATAAAAATAACTTTATAAAATTGCTGCATTTTTAACCTCTTCTTAATGGCAAACTTCTGCACTCCCCACCACTGTCCAACGACAGTTTATCTTGAACAAAAATACTACTCCTACCGATACCACTACTATTATTGTTGTTGTTGTTACTACTACTACTAGTACTACTACTCACACCTTCCTTAACTGTTATGTTCATATTAGCGTACATATTACCACTTAGATCATAATTAACATTACAATATTTATTATTATAACTATAATTATTATTATTATAACTATTATTATTATGGATATTATTATAAGTCGTAGCAATGCTAGCGGCAGTATAGTCTTTGGTGTTTGATTCCCTGGAGAACTTTTTATTACCATCCAAATTATGATTAGCATTATTATCACCTGTATTACCAAAGTTATAACTAAATTTGCTATTATTGTTATTATTATTGTTGTTGTTACTACTAAGTAAGTCAGAGCTATCTATATTTAGGATATACTCATCAGTTTCACCAATATTAATAAAGTTATTGATGTCGCTGTTGTTAATGTTTGCGTTGTTGTTGTCATTGTTGAACGAGATATTGTCCATATTGTCGTAGTCGGTTAGTATATCGTCGAAGGAGTCCAGGGCTATTGAGCTGTTTGGCCTGTGTTTTTGAATAAATTAATAAATTATATAATTTTAATAATTTGATAAATTAACGTTATGTTATTCTCTTATATTTATTTCTATATTTTTTATTATATTTTTTTTCCATTTATATGTTTTTTATTTGTATATACTATTTGATGTTGATTTAATGAGTAAATTAATTTATTATGTTAAATAGCTAGTACTACTAATCTGTGTTTTTGTAATTAACAGCATCCTTAACTTAATTTTTTCCAAATAAAATTTTATATCCATAATTATCGCTTATTTATTATGGGAATTATAACCTCTTTGAGCAAAGAAATAGCAATAAATGGTGTAAAATCTTGAAAATAAATGCAAAAATAACCAAAAAATAATTACAAAAAACCCAAAAACGTACGAAAACGAAAAATCAGCAAGAAAATCGTAGTCGTCCTTCTCCTGATTGGTCGTGTCAGCACCAATCAGTGACGGGGTATCCTCTGAGGAGGTCAGTGATTGGTTGATGGTGTTATCAGCGCCAGAGCTGTCCATGGCGTCGGAGATGATGAAACTGTCCGCAGCTGACTCTAAATCCGAATTCTTATTGAAGCAAATCAATTTAGGTGTTAAAAATTGGTTAGAATGAAAATATTAAATGTCCATTTATGGCTACTTTTACACTTCAAAACATTCACCACTTTACCATTTAACATTTCTCTAAAAAAATTTCTAATTAATATCAACTAATTATTTATAATTAAGATAATTAAATAATTAACTAATTATAGAAATCATTTCTAATAAAATACAGATTTAATACAATATATGGTACGATACAAAAGATACCTTGAGTCAATACAATATTAAATACAATACAAAGACATATTTACAAAAAGATACAATATGAAATACAACATTATACAATACTGTACAATAGACAATATTGTACAATAATTGCATATAATAGAAAAATACCAAACAATACAACATACAATACAACACAACATAAAACACAACATACTATACAACACACAAATATAATATACAATGTAACACATTTACTTGAAAGAAATATTCCTGATTGCAAACATTTTGTATTTGAACATTGATCATAATTAGTTTTAAAATAACCTTATTACAATTTTACCATAACTATTAATATAAAATAATTATAAAACAATTTTATATTTTAAAATATCATCAACTGTGATGACGATGATGATGATGCTGGTAGCTGTCAGATGGATGGATGGACAAAGATAGAGGAAATAAAAGAGATTCTGTTTTCTTATCCAATCACAACCACTGAAAAGACATAGTTAATTAAAAATTGAATAATACAAAAATAAATTAATTAATACTAATTTAGAAATACCTAATAAAATAAACTATAAATAAAATAACTGTACAACTAATTAAAATTGTATGTGCTGCTTAGACTAAATTAACTTTAGTTAATTAATTAACTTAATTAACTTTAGACTTAATTAACTTAGTTAATGTTTGTGAAAATCAATTAATAAAATTCCTAATACAAACTTAATTAACTAACAATTATCAGTTAATAAAACGAAAAATAATATACTAAATGTTATTTGGTAAACATTTAATTAATTATTAATTTAAATTGATTTTAGTTATTAAATAAATAACAACACAACAATTTATCAATTTGAATAGAAACCTTCAAAATTAACAACTCATCTAGCAAGCTGGAAAGTGTGTTTTGTGGTCAGCAACCTTAATTAGCAGCTTAAATTAGCAATTTAACATGTTGCTTAGCTTTTGTGAAGGCATGGTTTGGCTTTAAATTAGCTTAACACATTGGGTAATAGTAAATTAATCCGCCATTTTAATTAATTAATACACCACGCCTTACACAATGACAAGCAACTGACCAGCCAGCAACAACATGTAACATCAAAGAAGTTAATTTGCATATGAAATGAATGAAATATGTGTGATTGTAAAAGATTAAAAAGATAAGGATTATGAATGATACAATCTTTAGCTTTCATCTACCTGTGTGTGTTTGTTTGTGTGTTTTAGTTTGTTGTTATATTAATATTATGAAGTGTGAATTACATTGATGTGTCACTTTCCATTGTTTGTTTTTTTGCTCTAGCCAACTAAGCGGAAGAGTTAATGATTTAAGATTTTGGAACGTTTTTCAACAAATTTAACAAATTGAGTGATTACGGAGTAATTATTTTAACAAAATTTAGTGAATTATTCAGTGTAAAAAGCGAAATTTGACGTGAAAATTGATAAAAACCAACCAGAAGCAACTAGTAAACAAATCCAATCTGGCGCTACTTGCGCATGAAGAGACCAAATAGTTGCATGATAACATCCAGCCATCATATTTTCCGGCATATCTATTTTATTTCACCATTTCATCAAACTAAATGACATATGTTGACCGTTTAACGTTTCTAATTGCACATTTATATATTATTTTTGATGATATTTGGCAAATGGTATGCAACAAACATTTTTATGAGTACATTTCGCAAGGTTTTAACTAGGTCCGCCTGTATTTTGCATTTATTTTGTTATTTTGTGTGGATTTCTGAGGTTCTCAACGAATCTTAAATCAAATCCAGGAATTTTAACGTATTAAAATACAATTTCCTTGCTAAATTAGGATTTATATATATAAAACAACTTTAAAAAACCATTTTAACTCTTTCAAAACGTTAGAATTAACAGTTGTTCCATGTATAAATGACTATGTTGTTGGATTGGCTGACGAATGTACAGTACATTAACCTCACACACACACACATATATATATATATATATATATATATATATACATATATATATATATATATATATATATATATATATATATATATATATATACATATATATATATATACATTTCCAGATGAAACAATTCAGTATGGTCAGATTTTCAAAACTTTTTTATTATTTAAATGTGCCAAGTCAGATAAGTGGAAACAGCTGACTCACAAATTTGGCGCGCCATCTGGAGATTAAATGAATGAAATTACGTTGATTCATAAAAAATGATCTGGTGTCTAAAATTACTTTTTGCTTGATTAAAGTTTAATTTATCGTTATAAAAATAAATTTTTAATGATAAAATGTTAATAATATATGAGTAAATGTTGAATAAAATGAAATATAGATATAAATGTTTGGAACTGTTTTTTCAGTTGCATTGTAGATATCAGGTGAAAGATAATGTGATGAGGCTCAATAACAACATTGCGATAATATAAGCTGGTCGTTGTTTCGCCAATGTTTAACTTTCAATTTTTTGCGTTAAATTCTTTCAAACTGTGAATTATATTTTAATTTGATTAAATTTCTTAAATTTATTAATTATTAAATGTATATGTCATTCCCTTCATACATTTAGTTAGTTTAGTTAGTTTAGTTTAGTATAAAGCTGAAGCGAAAAGTGTTAGAACTTAGAAAGAAGAAACACCACAATTTATTTATTTAATAATTAATTTCTCGCTCAATCAACCGAAAAATTTTAAATTTAGCTTTATTTACTAATTAATTTAATTTTATAATTAACTTAGATATAAATGTCTCATATTTTTAAACAAAATCGTGTTAAATGATGATCTTTTAATTTTAATGGTCCTCAAATTCAAAAGTCAAACAATAGAATTTTATAATATATTCTTTCTTACCTCAATTTTTTTAATTTGAAAGCACTAATTTACTAATTAAAAATTAGTAGTTTAGTCAAGTGAGTTAAGTTAAAAACTTTTTCAAGATCGTTTGTAGGGCTTTGTCATAAAGCCCCCCAAAAACGTAAAAGTGTTCGGGTTCCTGAAGATTCGATTGAAGATCGGCAAGAGCAAGGTTCTTTTTCTACTGTTTCAACTTTGTGATTTTATTTTTTAAAAATGAGAAAAATGTTTTATATTAAAACACACTTCATCCGTTGTTGTATGTATCTGTCCTTTGTATCTTATGTGATTTACCTTCATTTATAAAACAAAAGAATAATATTAGCCTAGATTCCAAATATATATATATATATATATATATATATATATATATATATATATATATATTATATATATATATATACATAGTCAAATTTCAGATTAGTCAGATAATTCTTGAAAACGAATGGTAAATAAATTTTACACACACTAATCAGCATTTTTTTAAAGTTTCAACTATCATTGGCCATCAATGTTTTATGAATGTTTTATGAATAAAAAAATTAATAATATATATATATATATATATATATACATATTTATGTAATTATAATATATAGGACATATATTTGTTGATCTGAGCAAAAAAAACTGTTTAATATTTAATTAATTTGAATGGGACCCTAACTTATTTAATCTTTGAGCCTAATCACTCAATTGTACTTTTTTTCTTTCTCTCTCATTGAATTAATTTTAATTAGACAGGCCCCAGAAAGTTAGTCTCCTACTACAAGAGTGCTTATCATTAGCAGACGTTAGTTAAGTTATTGCCAGCAGTTAGGAATTAGTTTTTACTTGAGAGAAAAAAGTTGCTAAAAACGTTAATTTTAGGTGATTTTTTGCATAAAAATTTTTAAAATTTTGAAAATTGGATACACGCGTGTTGTTTAAATGTTGCTACATATGTATGATGATTTCAATTATATATAATTTGGTAAGGTATGTGTGTGTTTGTGTGTGTGTGTGTGTGTGTATGTATGTGTGTGTGTGTGCATGTGTGCGTACAATTATATATATATAGTTATTAATTTGTTTTTGTTTCCTGGCTGCTATGTATTAGATAGATATAAATGATGGAGCGTTGAAAATAAAGCAAGGTAGAAGAAGTAACTTTCAACAATAGAACAATTTATACTTTGGTGTTTTTCTTTTGGGGGATTTTTGAAATCTAAATAAACACATCATTGGGGAGTGGTATAATTTATGTATAGCCATGTACACACACACACACACGCACACACACACACACACGCACAAACAAACAAGTAAATAAATATGCATTATGTGTGCTTATATATATTTACATATAACTTTATGTATATGGGTCATAATATCAAAGAGTTATATATTCTAAATCTCATTCTATTTATGGTTTGAAAAATTCTTCTTATTAATTTAGTAATAAATTATTGTCTGGGGTCGTCATTCATATGAAGTTATTTAAGGATTGTCGGAGCTACAGTTGCTTTAATTTTAAGTTTACCATTATGCATCATCTGAATAGAAATACCCTCACGCACGCACGCACGTACATCCCCCACACACACACACGTTTTTATCCATCGTATCGTTATACTCATAGAGTATGTTTTTCATATTACCATAGTTGGTAACATCATTATCGTCGTCGTCACCATCATCATCGTTATCATTCTGTCTGCAAAGTCAGGTTCATGTTTATTGATTATATTTATCATCATTATCCGTCATTCCATCACCTGTTCTATTATCTACGTTCATTGTTTTCAACTCTTTCGTATCAACATATACCATCATCGTCATCATCGTCATTATCATCGTCGTCATCATCGTCGTATGACATCATCACATTCTGCTTACCGAGCTATCAAACTTGTATATGGAAAGTTAATTAACCTGTAAATAATTTCATTATTTCTATCGAAATTGTTTCGTATTCTTATTCTCCACCCACCTTTCCTTACAGAAAAAAAATTTAATTTTGTGAAAGTAATACCGATTAAAAAGAAAAGTGAGCATAAATAAAAATAATTTGCACTCAATTTATTCAGGAATATTTCTTAAATCTCTCAAATCTTACACTCTCTCTTTCCCCTTCTTTCCATCTCTCTCCCTCCCTCTTTCTCTCTCTCTCTCTCTCTCTCTCTCTCTCTCTCTCTCATTGTTCACCCAACGAAATATTTGCAATATATATTTGTTATAGGTGCAGGCTGTGCGTGTGTGTGCGTGAATGCCTGTTCTTCCTATGTAGACATGTAAATGATATGCTATTTATTTTTCCGTTGGACTTTAGGTGCAAGTGCACACGCACAAATACGCACACACACACACACACACGCACACACCCTTAAACACACTTTTGTTTCACGTTGGATTTACGGGGGTTATTATTTTTCTGTATTGGGTTAGGTGTGGCAGCTGTGTCAGTCAGTCTGCAGGCAGCGTCAGTTTCGCGTAGCTTAACTTTTTGACGTTAAGTTTTTAAATAAATCTCACTGAAATATATATATATATATATATATATATATATATGTATATATGTATATATGTATATATATTTATTTATTTATTAATATATTTCTATTAATATTTAATAAAATATTAAAAAACATATTACTTTTCTAATGGGCAGAGTTTGAAAGCGGGAAAGATGTCCATGACAGAGCCAATGCGAGTTAGTAGCTACACGGAGGAGAAGGTTAACAAGGTCAAGTCCTCCCTCGAAGACTACTATCATAACCTCATCAATCAGCATTCGGAAAGACTCAATCGGTTGGTTGATTGGTTGGTTGGTTGATTGGTTGGCTGGTAGGTTGGTTGGCTGGCTGGCTGGTAGGTTGTTTGGTTGGCTGGTTGATCATTAATTGCAATCAAATTTTCTCATGTTTAACATTGTTTTTATTGTTATTATTATTATTCTAGAGGTTATTATTTAGGTTGTTCGTGTTATCTTTATAATTTATAGACAGAAAAACCTGCACTGTTAGGTATTAATACATATTGTTAATGAAGACGGTATGGTACCTACATGCACATAAACAAACATTCATCTGCTTAAAACTACTTAACACTAACACATACACGCACACGCACATACACGCATATACATACACTTACACACTTACATATATACACATACATATGCACAGACACACATACATACATTTATACATACACACACGCACACATACTTGATATTATTTATGATCACAGCCAAATGTTTTTTTTTTGCATTTATAGATTCTTTCTTATTTACATAAATGCACTAACCCACAATGTTTGAGTATGCGTGTCTGGTTTGTACACATATATATACACACACACACATACAATCACACACACATTCATTCATACATAAATACATACATACATACATACATAAATACACACATATACACATATATGTGTGTATATATATATATATATATATGTGTATATATATATATATATATACGTACACACAACACACACGTGCATACATACACATACACATACGTCACATACTTACATAGAATATGTAGATGATAATGATTGCAAAGGATGTAATGCTGATAAACAATCATGTAGAAGTACATTCACCCATTAATTCACCCACTTTACTAATGTATACATTCAAACCGTTCATTTGTTCATTCGTTCATTCAATCATTCATTCATTCATTCAATCATTCATTCAATCAATCATTTATTCAATAATTCATTTTTTCATTCATTTGTTTATTCATTCACTCATTTATGCATTTACATATACAAATAATACGCTATCACACGTTAAAATTGAAATATGTTACCCTGCCAGCCAGGCCAGCAAAAACACGCACACACACACACACACACACACACCAAATAGGCAAACCCATGCATATATACATGTGTTGTATACATGCTTAGGTATGTGTGTAGGTATGTAGATAGTACACCTCGCAGAATAAACACTATATAGAAATATATTAACACATAGCATTTAGTGTATATACGACCGTTTTATTAACCTAGATACTCTTCTAAAGTTGTTTACATTTAAAAAATGCCTGATTTCATTAATTCTCCTATTGATTGTTCCTTCAATCGTCCATTCGTTCGTTCATTCATCCATTCATTCATTTATTCATTCATCCATTCATTCACTGATTTTTTCATTCATCTTATTTTACTCGTCTGCCATTTCCTTTGTTAAGATTACTTATGCTACATCCTTTTATACATTATTCATCCATCCAGCCTTTTATTTGTTCATGTTTTCGTTCGTTCATTCATTCATTCATTCATTCATTCATTTATTCATTCATTCATTCATTCATTCATTCATTCAAGTCCTTCGACATGATCTGCAATGTTGGGTTTTTAAAAATGGCCGACACTGATGTCAAATTTTTTCAGAATATTTGTTGAGTCTCTATGTTGATTGCAAGGAGCATTCATAATAATGTTGTGTCGCCAACAAAACATAATAAATAAAATAAAATAAAATAATTTCCATCATCTTTGCAGTCATATTCTTGCTCGTCATCAGCGCAACATCGTTATCATTAGCACGCTACATCACTTTTACATTTATCACCATCATTTATTATCATCATCGTCGTCACCGTTGCAAATTCTCTACTCTTACATCATCATGATCACAGCCAGTAGCCACTATCACCATGGTTGTCATCGTCGTTGTCATCATCACCATCTTAGATCATCGTCATCATCATCATCACAAGTCCATTGGTCCTGCTTGTTTCACTGGTGTTGATGACATCATCTTATGTCATCATGTTTATGTGATATAATGATCGGCATTATCATCATTAATAACGACATGCAGAGAGATTACCAAGGTCATTGCACGCACACACGCACACGCACGCACACACACACACATACACACGCATACACACACACATTTGATGATGATGAGTAATGATATTCTTTCATCTACACTCAGCATGGTCGAGATATTTATGTGTTAATTTTTCCTTTTATTTATTTATTTATCATTGTTTATTTCAATATAGTATTATTATTATAATTAGTTTCTTTTATTTGATACCCAATTTTATTTATTTATTATCAGATTGATTAGCTAATTGGATGATTGATTGATTGATTGATTGATTGATTGATTGATTGATTGATTGATTGATTGATTGATTGATTGATTGATTGATTGATTGATTGATTGATTGATTGATTGATTGATTGATTGATTGATTGATTGATTGATTGATTGATTGATTGATTGATTGATTGATTGATTGATTGATTGATTGATTGATTGATTGATTGATTGATTGATTGATTGATTGATTGATTGATTGATTGATTGATTGATTGATTGATTGATTGATTGATTGATTGATTGATTGATTGATTGATTGATTGATTGATTGATTGATTGATTGATTGATTGATTGATTGATTGATTGATTGATTGATTGATAAGATATTTATTATCAACGGCTTCAGTTATCTCTTTCTTGTGTCATAGTCCTCGACAAAATCACAACGGACATTTGAAATTTCAAATCTCATTCTACCTATACACTTGTTCGTTTTGAAATGTAGGAGCAGGCAGGAGATGATGAGGATGAGGATGTTGATAATGATACATTTAGCGCACAACATGATAATGATGACGATAACATTTGCGAAGATGATGATGATGACGTTGAAGTTGAAAAATTCGGGCGATGATTGACAATATGGTGATAATGATATTTTTATTATCACTACAACTGCAATTAACACTTGCTTTTATTATCAATACTTAATTATTACTATAATACTTTTATAATACTTATTTTATTTATTTATTTTTATTTATTTATTATTATACTACTACTATACTATATTCTACTACTATAATACTTACATAACTACTACATGCTAGTTAGTAGTATTGCATTTATTACTTCTAGTATAATTTCGTCATCAATATAATCAGCATTATTGCATAATAATCACGTTTAATAACATTGTCAGGATACACATAATACACACACGCGCGCGCGCGCACACACACATATACACTCACACACACACACACACACACACACACAAACACACATACACACACATGTTGTGTCATAGCGTTAGCTTTCGTTGAGATGACTTCTATTATAATATCATCTCAATATGACTAAAATGTTTACAATGACTCGAAGAATTAAAATGAATACTCTGGTTATGAGGTAACAGCAGTTGTTCGATGAGGCTTTGTTACTTTTTTATTACTTCTTTTTATCATTCATTCATTCCATCGTTCGTTTGTTTGTTTCTTTGTTTGTTCTTCTGCTCGTTCGTCCATTAGTTCGTTCATTCGTTCGTTCATTCGTTCGATCGTTCGTTCATTCGTTCGATCGTTCGTTAGTTTCATCTTTCTTGCGTTGGTTGGTTGTTCGTCGTTCGTTTTTTTGTTCGTTCGTTCGTTCATTCATTCATTCATTCATTCATTCATTCATTCATTCATTCACTTACTGCAGACAGAAACAGCTAGAAAATTCTATGAATAACGAAGGATTGACCGAAGAGCAAGTATTGTTCGTTTTTTATTCATTCATTTGTTCATTCAGTCTATCTATTCAACATATCCAGCTGATTTGGTTTAATAATAACAATTATGAAAGTATATTTAAAATAATTATTATTGTTATTACAACAGTAATAACAATAATTATTATAATAATAATAATAGCGTTAACACCCTACAATCCTACTGTCATATTTATTTCAATAGTGAATGAATGAATGAATGATGAATGAATGAGTGGATGAATGAATGAAAGTGTGATGCATTGGATGAATAAATGATTGACTGAATGCGCCAACGATTGATTGACTGTTTGTAGAAAAATGAGAAAAGACAGTTACATGCGGTCAGGGAAACAGAGTTCCTTCGAATGAAGAGGTCAAAGTTGAATGTCAACGACTTCGAACATCTGAAGGTCATCGGCAGAGGTGCCTTTGGCGAGGTTATTATTATTATTGTTGTTGTTGTTGTTGTTGCTACTGTGGTTCTGGTTGATTTTTATACCCATGATTTTATTAGATCATGATGATAAATGAAATTCAATCAGCCTATACTTATTTTACTCTGCTTTATTTCTCTCAGGTCAGATGAAAACTACTGATATAATCTGCTCTTATAGCCTATGTATGTATGTATGTATGTATGTATGTATGTATAAACAATATGTATGTATACATGCAATACATGTATGTATATATACAATACATGTATGTATATAAACAATACATGTATGTATATATACAATACATATATGTATATATACAATACATGTATGTATATAAACAATACATGTATGTATTTATACAATGTATACATACGTAGACGTACCTATGGGATCAGCATTTGCTTACTACTTACTATTCTTCTGTTTTCAATTTTGAATTTCTAAATGTGTGTTTAATTTTTTTACACTTTTCATTTATCTGTCTATCTCTTTCTTTCTATCTCGCTTCCTCCAGCTTTGTCTCTCTCATGTTCTTTATCCTCCTCTCTCCTACTCTTTTCTTTCTTCAAACTTTTCCTTAATAGAATTTTTGTCTGAATTCATAGTGCTTGGTTGATTGATTTTTTCAGCTGATTAATTAATTACGCTCCTTGTCTGACTGATCGATTTGTTTGAAAGCTTGCAAGTTTGATTGATTGATTGATTGATTTTACGAGATAGCAGATAGTTACTCAAATGATTGATTGATTGATTGATTAGTTTGCTAACAGATTAGTTGATCATCTGCATCCTGCATCTATTTTACCACAGCAGATTGTAAACAAAAAAATGTTTTAATTTGAGATGTAAAGAAATACCATACTCCTCAGAGGATGTGATGGAAAAAATTGATTAAAAAATAATAAAGTTAATATTATCACTTGATAAATAAACAAACAAACCCATGAGATTTCTGTACTGAAACTTCTGATTGATTGACAACTGCAATTACTGTTATGTGTCAGTCAGTGTCTGTAGTGCTCTCTCTTTCTCTTTCTCTCTATCTTTTTTTTCTCTCTTTCTCTTATCTCTTTTTTCCTATCTCTTTTATGTTTGGTTTTTACTTTTTTTTCCCTCTTTTTCTCTCTATTTTTCTTTTTCTTTCTTTCACTACATCTCCTTCCGTCTCTCTCTCTCTCTCTTTTTCTCTCTCTATTTTTAAAATTATTCAATCAGTATGTCTAAGTTTTCAACGAATAGGAGATGAGATTATAAATAAACGATGATCGTAAACAGCTAAAAATATCATGCACTTTCTACATAATTTATTGTATTTTGTATTTAACTCTTTGATAACTGCTAGTTTTAATGGTGTCTGAACTGTAAAATATGTTGTACGTACCAATTAAATAATCAATCAATCAATCAACCAATCAATCAATCAACCAATCAACCAATCAATCCACTTAATCAATCAATTAATCAATCAATCATTCAATCAACCAATAAATCAATCAATCAACCAATCAATCAATCAGTCAATCAATCAATCAATCAACCAATCAATCCACTTAATCAATCAATCAATTAATCAATCAATCAACCAATCAACCAATAAATCAATCAATCAACCAATCAATCAATCAACCAATCAATCAACCAATCAATCAATCAATCAATCAATCAATCAATCAATTAATCAATCAATCAACCAATAAATCAATCAATCAACCAATCAATCAATCAATTACACCACCCAAAAACTCAGGTGAGGCTAGTTCAGAAAAAAGACACTGGAGTTATATATGCAATGAAAATCCTTCGAAAAATTGATATGCTGGAAAAAGAACAAGTAATTAATCAATCAATCAACCAATCAATCAACCATTCGGTCAACCAATCAATCATCCAATCAATCAACCAATCGATCGATTAACCAATCAATCGATCAACCAATCAATCAACCAACCAATCAATCGATAAACCAATCAATCGATAAACCAATCAATCATCCAACCAACCAATCAAACAATCCAATCAATTTTCAAAGAAACATATTATCGATAATAATTTTTTTGGCTGAGTGCTATATATGATTTCTTCAAATTTTTACAATTTCACAGAGATATCAATAATCATCACTGTAATCATTATAATTGTAACAATAATCATCATCATTATCATAATCACCATCATCATCTTCTTCATCCTCACCATCATCATTATCATCATCATTTTCTTCATTCTCACCATCATCATCTTCACCAGCCTGTCACGACTACGAATAAATTAACTAATTATTCAAATGAGAGCATTTTTACACCTATTCCTCTTGAGTTTCAACCTAATTTAAGACAACATAAACAACATACGTACATACCGAATACACATGCACACACACGCACACACACGCTCTTATAAAATTCCTCATATGTTAATTTTAAATGATTTTATTGATTGATTTTAAATGACTTAAAAGAAATTAAGTTGGTTTATTAAACTGACTGATAAGATGAAATAGATATTGGTAAATTGTCAACATTATTAAATGGTTGTTGAATGAAAAAAACCAATGGAAGATATAAATACAGCTCGGTGTTTTTCATCTTTCAATCAAAAATTCTAAAATGTTTTTAAGTGAACACGTTCGAATTCTCCAGGTGGCACACGTGAGGGCCGAGCGCGACATCTTAGTGGAGGCGGACCACACGTGGGTGGTCAAAATGTACTACTCTTTCCAGGATCACATCAATCTTTATCTTATCATGGAATTTTTGCCCGGAGGTCTGTGCGCGTTGATGTGTGTGTGTGTACGAGTTTGTGTGTGTGTGTGAGTGTGTCTGTGTGTGTGTGTGTGTGTGTGTGTGTGTGTGTGTGTGTGTGTGGTGGATATGTGTACAAGTTCGTGTATGGATATGTGTGTACGAGTTTGTATTTGTGTGTGTGTATGTGTGTGTGTGTGTGTGTGTGTGTGTGTGTGTGTGTGTGTGTGTGTGTGAGTTCGTTTCTTTTTTTTCATTATTCTTCTGATAATGGTCTCACTTATCTCAGTTATCTTGTTAATTCATTTTGTGACCTCAATTTATTCATCCACACACTCGTTCATCCATCTATTTGTTTGTTCATTCACTGGTCTATCCATCCATTTATCCATCTATCTGTCCGTTCATCCATCCATCCATCCATATACCTATATTTTCATCTTTTTATTCATCTATATTTGTGTTTTTTCACCCACTAACTCACTCACTCATTCATGCGAACAATTATGAATTACTTAATTATGAAATTATTAAGTAATTATGAAAAAAATTTATGATATGACATGATGGAATAAAATTATATTAAACAAACACACACACACGCACGCACGCACGCACACATAAACACGCACACGCATGCACACGCACACATGAAGAATAATAATTATGAAGAGATTTAACAATACTTAGGTGACATGATGACGTTGCTGATGAAGATGGATACGCTGTCAGAAGAGCAGACGCAGTTCTATGTCGCTGAAACCGTCCTAGCCATTGATTCTATACATAAGCTGGGCTTCATACATAGAGATATCAAACCTGATAATCTGTTACTTGATGCTAAGGTCGGTTGGCTGGTTGTTCGGTTGATTGATTGGTTGTTTGGTTGGTTGGTTGGTTTGTTGTTTGGTTGGTTTGTTGGTTGACTGGTTGGTTGATTACGGTTTTTTTATTGGTTGCTGTATCGGTTGGTTCGATTTTTTTGTTTGCTTGGTTGATTGTATTTACTTTGTTTGATTGATTGGCTGGTTGATCGATGGATAGGTTGTATGGTTAGTCGGTTGGTGGATTGTTTTTATAATAACGATGCCAGATCATAGCAATGATGATGTTGCTATAGTGATGTATTGAAAAGTGAAACTGAAACTGAAATGATGATATGTGGTTGTTGATGATATCCGGTGAAAACCACATATCAAGCAAGAAGATGGTGATGGCGATATTGATCAAAATAAAAATTACACGATGACACTCATAACGATAATTGAATAATTTAAATTAAAAATCATCATAAAAA